TTCAAGAAATTAAGAAAACTAAATATCTGAAATCTTTTATATGAATCTAGCAGTTTAGGAAATCGAATATATTGTTCGATTACATTCTGCTATCATTAGAATACGTATTCTGCTTTTTTCAAAATTCAGTAAATTGTTGATTTCTTTTCTATATACTCTATCTTTTTCTGATGAATTTTTTTTTCTTTTCATATGTTTAAAACTTGAACATGATCAAATGTATGTAACTAATGCATAATGTACATATACCAAGTATAAGTGATTAAAGATTTGCAGTATAAAAGTAGACTTGGAAGTAACGTAGAGTGAACACAATTAGCTCTTAAAAGGATTAACGATTTAGTAGGCTTTCATAAATAATTAGGAAATGTTTTAAAAGAAATCATTAGTGAAACTTAAAAAAAAATGACGAAATTATTAAAATTGTTATTATTGGTTCTTGATGATTCAGGAATACATCAAAATTGCAAATCAATTTGTGTTAGTTTCTTAACGATTCAGTAATGAACTAGAGTTCACAATTTACGAGGTTTATACTTCGTTCTTTTTGTCTTAAAAACAAAATCTCATTGATTAAATAAAAAGTATTAAAACAGAAGAGATGAAGAGGCTTCGAACTTGAGACATCAATCAAAAATTTCTAACTCATCAACCAATTGAACCAATAAATATTGTTGTATATTACTCCCTAAAATATGATTATATCTAATATTTCTGATTAAAAGTATAATATGATTTTAATTAAATTAAAGTATATATCACCAAACTTAAAAAATAAAGGTATAGATGGGCAAAATCCAAAAAAAAAACATCTTTTATTTACAATTTTATCTTAACTTTATTTTAGATATGTATTCCACGAATTAAGCCGACAAGAGTAAAGTAAGCAATGTAATTTTGCTCTCTTATGTTTATATAATTACATCATGGGTTAACAAAACCAATCATTTGTACTCAAACAGAAATATTTAAACCGGTGATGATGTTTCAGTAGGCAATATATATCTTTTGATTATTGGATGTTATTGGTTTGCTGAAGAAGCAATGTAAAGTAGATAAGATTTAACACGTCAGAAAACCCAAAAGTATATCCGATGATAATATATCATGTTCAACATTTTAAATTAATTTTCTTTATAGACATTTTACAAATTTTTGAGAAATGATGTTTGACCTTTTGTTTCTTTATATCCAACTTGATGTTTTGATATTTTACTATTTTACTCATGCACCATACATAGACGTTACGA